GTTTTGCAAGAACCTGTTATTTTTTTATTTCTAATTTATGCTCTTGGTAAGAAAACAGAATCAATGTCATAGCAAAGATTTACATGTCTTTTCTACTTTGATCAATGTTTTTGAGAGTTACTGTGATAAAATGGTCAATGGTATATTTAATGATTTCTGTTCACTTTTAGCTAACATAGTTCAAAAGTATATTATTAGTTAAATAAATGCTGACAATTTTTATAATTCTTCATATATTATTCCTTCTGTAAGTATGAAATACCAATCTTCATCCCTTTAGGTATTTTTCATATTAAATTCCTTTTTATCTGTTCCTGAAATTGCAGCCCTTCACAGCTGAGAGTTGGCCTGGTACTATCAGTTAAATCTCAGTGATGCTAGAGGGGGCAGATCTTAGCTGGCAAGATCAGCTAAGACATGGTATTCTCCATGGTGCTACATAAAAACAATCTCCCTGAACACCAACGTCAAACAAGACCACTCTCTGACCATCACGGTGCAAGACAAAACAAGACCACTCTGTTATCATAGCTAAGCACAGACAAAAATCAGAACATTGTTCAAAGCACAAAAGTAAACAAATGTCTCCTTAATCTGCCTAATACAAGTGACTGCTGCTTCTTTGCCAATGATATCTTATTCCTCAATCCATTCTTCCCATCTTCTAGATTAAAATTATCAATATGCCCAATCATAAAATTGCTCAACAGCAAGAGAAGTGGCAGTTCATTGAGATTGACCTGACATCCTCAATGCATGTGACTAAACCATGAAATGAAATTCCACTACTTCTTATGTATCCAATAGAAAGGGAAGATATGACAAGAATGTCCACTGCTACACTATTCATAATATTTCCTGTATTTTACTGAACAAACATTAAAAAAGTCATGTGCAAAAAGTTTGGCTAGTAGGCCATTTTTGTGAAATCCAAAGAAAAACATTTGTAGCTATTTTCACTTGCACAAAGAACTAAGAAAACAAAGAAAACTAGAAAACTGGTCATTTACATAGGGAGACATGGACAGGCAAAGGAAAGGTGAGTGAACCACAGTCCCATCTTTCCCCTGATTTCCTTTCACCACAATACTTTCAGTGTGTTGCGTTTTATATTTTTGTAATTTCTGAACTAAGTGTTTGTATTGCCTATCCAAAAAATTAATCTATTCCTAATAAACTACCACATTATCTTCAGAGGGATTAAGAAATAATATTATTGTGCTTTTGTCAGCCTAAAAGAAAAAAACAAAACAAAACAAAATAATATTATATCCATGAAATAAGAACAGGATGCTAATAAAAACGAATACTTAGAATACAAACTAGAGTTTTTAAAAAGTAAAACTTTGAATTAAAATGTTGACAGCGCTAATAATAAGCCCGATGAAGACTGGAAGACAAAGTTGATAAAGTTGACAAAGTTTCCCAGAAAGGACAGCAACAAAGAAATAGAAAATAGTAGAGGAAAAAAACGGAGAACTAACATCTGAAAAACAGAAGTTTCAAAAGCAGAATAGAGAAAGTATTTGTGTTTGGCAGGCACTGTAGGAAGAAATGGAGAAACCCTTTCAAAATCCCACATAAAAGTGACTTCTAACCAGGAATTCTATGCATAGTCAAAAGATCAAAACAGTTTGATGATGAAATAAATAGTTTTCCTTGACAGTCCACCTCTCCACTGCCATATTATATATACATTTAACCTCCAGAGATAGAGACATTACCCAAGTGTTGCTCATTCTTGACAGGAAGATCAAGATTTGTTTCAGGAGCAGCAAGTTTAGAGTCTGGCTGCTTCCTGTGGCCCATCTGCCTCTGCCAGAGGCTCTAGTGACTGATCACAGATATCTATTCCTTGGGATGAATTCCCATCCCTGAGACTCCTCCTTGTCACCTCATATGAGCTGCCATCATCTTCTGGAGCCAGAGCTGGGGATCTCTGGGGTGAGGTCCAATTAGCTGTCATAGCCAACTGGGTCGCAACCCTGGTTCTCTAGGGAGCCTGAAGCTTAGTGGTCATCTGTGAACTCAAGCAGAGCTGCTGGGAAGAGATGGGCTGGATTCTGGAGCAAGATCTGGCCCAAGGGCTCTCCAGGGACACCAAGAAACCTAGAAAGACAATGTCTACATAGTCATTCAACATTCACCACATAAACACTTCCTAGATACACCAAGGTGCAGGTTCTTTAACTAGAAACCAGAGTGGTGGTTCTG